TACTTTCTGTGTTTCAATATTCAAATGCATCCGAATCTTATTCACTGGTATATCTTTTTCGCATTGTTCACCATCGCTATTGGAATCGCTACACAGGAAAAAGTCTGCGTTATCACATTCGTTATTATTATTAGTACTTGTCCAAGGACGCCACATTTTAAACAGATAACAAACATTTTAAGCAATTATAACTGCCCCAATATCGAATTTCAACACTCAAATCGCGATCAGTTCCTGAACTGAACATTGACGGCACAACGGCGATACTCATCCCCACATTCTATTCGTCACCGTAACATGAATTCAAATTTAATTTTATGACTCTTCAGCCAATCATAAAACCCGGTTAGTAAAAATTACCCAATTCGAACCGCCAATTCTTCAGTCCACGTGGACTATATCGCAGCGGCATTATTTCTTTGTACTGTTTTTTTTGGCCTTTGTGTTCGCCGACAGCTTCAACTATTCACAATACCGGTTACTTCGACTATACATCTTGTTTGAATATAGATATTCTGACCTGAAATTGAACCATACTGCCTGGAATATTTTTTGGTAGCATCAAGATATTGCGATACTTTCCTTTTTTCTTGTTCGAGTTTCGTCGAATTCCATAACGCATTCACGAGATTTCATTTCCATTCTGGGGAACAGTTGTCCCGCCGCCCCCTTATTTCGTTAGGTGTACTGGCGTCGCCGCTCCCGGCAGCTCAGCCGCCGCCACCGCATCATCCTAATAATTTGTTTCTAAAAGCGACGCGCTAACTTTTGTTGGCGAATAAAAAGTTTATGGGTCCCGTTCGGACCAACCCCTGCATTTTACAAATTAAAACGCGCACATGCCGGCAATTTATTGACTTGTCACGCGCCATCGGAGTGCATCGGTAGGATTGTTTTCGGAGCGAGCTATTTTGTTCGGAGACTCATCGGAAAAAATTGAATTTGATGATTTTGTGACGTCATGTTATGCCTTCCGTCTTCATTGTTGATAGGAAATCGTTTTCGTAGTGTTGAGAACTTCAAAGTTCTGAACAATGAAACATTTAGTATATTCCTATTCAAATTGGAGTCAGTTGAGGTAGAGTTTCCTGATTTAGAGTATTGTTGAAAGATACAAAAAACCACAAATTTTGAATTTCAATTTTTGGCACTCGTAAATCTGTACTTATATAAATGTGAAAGTTTGCGAGGATGGATGTATGTATGTATTGTAACGAATCTAAAGCCGCCCCTGACCCATACGCCAGCCGATTCATCGAATAAATACATGACTCACCGCGAAAGAATGAAGTCTGAAATCGCCGGCGAGTACCGAACAAACTACAGAACTCTTCGATGGACCTTTACCGATATATAAAGCCGGCTCTCGTCCAGAGAGGGCAGTTCAGGAAGTGAATCGAGCCGTTAAACAAGGAATTCAAATAGTGGAAATAAATTAAGTGTTAGTTGCTAATGTTGAATATAAATTAGTTTGTGTTAGTGAAATATTATTAGAAATAAATTTGTTTGAGACAGTTAATTCTTTAATTTGTTATAATTTGTATGTTTGTTGCTCTTTCACGCCTAAACGACTGTACGGATTTAGATGAAACATCACATAAATACAGGTTATACATCAGAATAACATATAGGCTACAAGTGAGTTGGAGAAATTCTTGCTACCTAAGAGCTATCTTGGCGTGCGCTGCCTATACCGTTATAGTTACATGCAGATAATGTACCGTAAGATTGTTTATCTCAAATAGTTCTAAACAAAATTCCGCGATAGCATATATCTACCTCTTATGTGGTAGCCACCATATGTAAAATACTGAGTTGGGCTACCTATCGCGCGCGTTCCCAGGTGGCGGATGGAGGAACGGCCAGGGAACTGGAGGCCCTGTCCGGGAAACCAATGTGGCCTTACCGATGGGGTTGCCAGACTCCTGTAGATGCAGAAATAAGTAGGGTGAGAGAAGCTAAAACTCCCCAAAAGCCTTTACAAAACATGCCACCGTCGACCAGCCTACCCAAGCTAAGGTGTAAGGAATCGTGCCGACAGCTGAATGGCCGCAGGATGATATGCGATCACGAACGATCCGCTTGAGGAACTGGGCGAAATCTCATTGTAATCAGTCTGCCTCTGGTAACGCGGGGCTCTGACAGAGGTGACCAACTTTTTCCTTGCTACTCGTGGGAACACACATGAATGAAACAGAATCAACAAAAACCAATCCCGAGGCTGGACAGAAGAGCTCACCTCAATCTAAGGCGGTGGCTGGGGATGAACAGAAATGTCCACCCCAATCTACCGCTTGGAATGAGGCTGGACATAGCAGATCACCTCGTGATGTAATACAAAGGCCAAGGCGTAAGCGCCTTTGTGGCGCCGTGGCCAAAAGGAGAAAGAAAGCGAAGAAGGAAGGAGTGGCAGCAACTATAATTGCACCATCCTCCACCCCCACTCCACCTCCAACAGCAAGGGCACTTCCGGCGGCGGGCGCCAAGAGCTCCACCTTGAATAAAGGCAAGGAACCGGCTGCCCCTGCAAGAAAGCTCCCTCACTTGTGCACCTCCACGGAGGGAACCCCAAGAAGGTTGAAGAAGCCGCGCAACGACCGTGAGACACTTCAAGGTTGTCAAAGAGAGTGTGTGTTTGGCGAGTCTTGGTCTACACCTGTTAATATAAAGGAGATGTTTCTTAGTAACCTGTCCACCTTCCTGGAAAGGACAGGATGTACCTAGGAGGACAACTCCTCGGGAGGATGTACAATGGGTCACATGTGGCCCAAGTGATGTGGGTGTACACTCACCCTCCCTACTCTACAGATACATATGCCATAAATACAATTAAATTGGATACATTTTCACAATGCACATTTTAGAATATCTGTCAAATTTCTATAAAAATTAATACAATTGTCTATTTAATGATTTAATATAGATAAACATTTTTCAAACTAAGTAATTTGGACGAATTGTTTAAAAGTTATCACAATAAGATTAACTTGACGCAACGCAGTAAGCCATTACGCGTCGCGTCTACTGTAGGACGACGGTGGACGATGCGCTGGGGTAGAGGAGCGGTCTAAGCAATGAAGCGTCATCGCCCAGAACGCGACACGTCTTTGACGGTTGTGTTAGTTTTGCGAATTTCTTTATAGGTAACGTAATCCGTTTCTCGAAGCTATTCATTACCCACCGATGCCATGACCTTACTTGCAGATGAAACGGCCTTCGCCTTCTTTGGAGCCGGTTCCTCTTTCGAGTCTACTGTGCTCGAGTGTGAGCAAACGCGGCACCCATCTTGCACACAGCTTTCTCATGTACACATTTTCAGATAATATACGATGTACCGCACTTTTTGAAATGCCTACTAGATCTGCTAGCTCGCGCACTTTCAGTCGACGATCATTCAGTACTGCTTAGTGGATTTTCTTTTCTTCACTGTTTCTCGAGTAGGCACCTCATTTGGTCGACCAATGCAATGCTTGTCTTGGCAGATCGTACGACCTCGTTTAAACTTTACATCCCAATATTTTACTGTTGTAAACAAATTAGCAGATTCACCCAGAGTAGAATCCAGATTAGATTCTATAATGGTTAGGCTGAGGTCTTTGAAATAAAAGTATTGCACTACATAATGATGTCCAATTCTCTCCATTTTCACAAATTCACCGAAAACGTTCGATATTGATGGCTGCCAAACAAATTCTGAACAATGCAGCGTCTTCAAACTTGAGACATAAATTGTGTACTTTCTGATACAATGATATTTTTCAAATAATTACCGCCATATCTAGGTCAGGCCAAACTTTATTTAAAAAATATATCACATCTTTCGCTAACACAGTCGTTTTTTCTTAGTGAATTACGTATATGAAAATAATTATTTCGAAATGAAATCTTGGAATATTCATTTCCCCCAACTACCTACACCGTAGGTTCTGGTAAATGCCCGCCGGAAAACAACTACTTCCCCGGCTGATACCATGCTGGATATTGAATTATACGCGAAATACATTTATGCAAGGTACGCCACAGAGGTTAGTCTCGCAAATGTTTCTTGTTCATCCAGCAGGAGGACCATGCTGAAATTCGAGTAAATCATCTACAGACCGGATTCGAAGTATTACCTCTTATCACCGACCTGCACCTGCTCTGATGAGAGGTAATGTCTCGAAACCGGTCTGTAGATGACTACTTTACCGAAGTGAAATTTTAGGAAAACATAGAAGATTGGAATAAAATAATAAGCAGAATTATCTTGAGAACATATACGAGAAAAATGGGAAAAGTGCCTAGGAAAAAAAGAATTTATTTCAATTGGTCTTGTAGTTAGTTTTTATTGATTTAAAAAATTTATATTATTGCGTGTGCTCGTTTAGGATTTTTGGAAAATCTAGGATTTTTCTACTGTAATTTTGTTATGGAGAAGCACAAGCACTGCAGTAAAATTCTTGACTACTACTCGAGTACGTTCCCTCAAATACCACTCTCAGAGCCTTACTTGAGTGAAAGTAGTACTCAAAAGTATAGTTCTAGGTGACCTAAGTTGAACTGAAATCGCTTACTTCTGACATATCTCCCTTTGAGTATAATCAAATGGGTTAAATGAGTCAAACACTTCCCGTGAAAGTATATGTAGAAAGTAGACAAGTCTCCACCTTTCTTTCGACGTTCCAGACTATCAACTATCAAGGTTGCCTGTGATATTTGGGTCTCTAATAAGGCGAATGAATATGTTTTGAATAGACTCCAACTTTCTTAGGGTATGCTTGGGAGCGGAGTCAGCAGCATTCCAAAGGTTAGCCTTGTAAAAGTTGCTGAGTTGTATACTCCGTTTTTTGAAAGAGTTGGATTTGCTAGTGGGTGAATCAAATATCAACGAGACTTTTCGACCTTCAGGCACAATAGTGGAGGGAGAACGTCCACGCTTTGTTTGTTGTTGGGTAAGTTTGTCAGGAGTAAGGGAAGCACGTGGGCTCGCCTCCTCGACCCTCTTAGTGTCCACCGTGACGATGTCGATGCAAGAGGAACATCCGTCAATTGAGCAACGTGTTGTAATCAAGTTTCTCGCCGCAGAATGCGAAAAACCGGCTGAAATCTTGAAGAGATGGACTGCCCAGTTCGGGGAAGTGACACTGTTGCGAGCCAGAGTGTTTGCATGGCATAAACTGTTCAACATCAGCGGTGTTCGACGGCTTATTGAAGATTACAGACGTCGTACTACTTCTGAAATTGCAAGTGGGGTGGGGATAAGTTATGGGAGCACTTACTCCATACTCACAGAGGAGCTAGGGTACCGTAAGGTGTGCGCTAGTTGGGTTCCTCGCCTTCTCACAGCTGACCAGAAACTGCATCGTCTTCAGATGTGTGGGCGTCTTCTTGCACGATTTCAGGAACATGGAGACCAATTTCTCACTAACATTATCAGCTGCGATGAAACATGGATGCAACACTACACCCCACAGTCTAAACAAGCGAGTATGGAGTGGAGAAAACATGGAGAACCTGGACCAGTGAAAGCCAAGTCACGTTTGTCGGCTGGCAAGGTTTTGGCTACCGTTATTTTTGACCAGCGTGGATTGCTGTATCTCGATTTTTTGCATGAACGCATGACAATTAATGCGGCCTACTACTGCGACGTTTTGAGGGAGGTCCGATTAGCATATCGCCGCAAAAGACGAGACCTATCGATCAGAGAAGTGGTTCTTCTCCATGACAATGGTCGCCCCCATACAGCAGCCTTGACTAGGGAAAAATTGGAGCAACTGGGGTGGGAAACATTGGAACACCTTATTTCATCAATTCGGACTTTCATTGTCTAATATAATATAAATTGATTTGATAACCCTGAAAAATATTTGTTTGGTTATATGTTATTTCTCTGTAATTTCAGTTTTTTCTTTAATAAAATTATTATTTTCAGTTAATTTTTTGATTTTTTCCGGGTTATCAAATCAATTTATATTATATTAGACAATGGAAGTCCGAACTGATGAAATACACCACGAAACATTGTCAACAACCTTCAAACAAAAATTGGAACACCTTCCAGACCTGTCACCCTGTGACTTTCATGTTTTTGACCTTCTCAAGGAAGCTTTGGGAGGCCGAAGATTCGATAGTAATGCTGAGGTTGAATTCTACGTGCGCAATTGGCTGCAGACACGACCTGCATCTTTCTACGTGGAAGGATTTGGAAAGCTGCCTATCCGCTGGTAACAATGTTTCTAAATCAGGAGATTATGTAGAAAAATGAACTATATTCTTTTTTGCGTTTGAAATAAAAATAAATTACCAAAAAAAGTGTCGTTTATATTTGATTCACCTAGTATCTCAGTAACCGACACATACTGGTATCCAATTGTTTAGTCCCGAATTTTCAGTCCAATAATATTCTCATTTAAAGGACTCCTTATCTGCGACGAGACAGCACGTACTCTAATATCGAAAACAAAAGTTGATCTTGCCTAAAAAGTGAATAGTCCTCAAACTTCCTCGCAGCCTCTCCCTCCGACCCTATTCCAGAGGTACATTCGATTAGGGCGCGACACACCCGGACCTTTCTCTTCCGCTGTCAAAGGAACAACAAGCAACAACAATGAATCGCGAAAAAGCGACAAAGGACCGCTTCATTGTCGAAAACTCGACCCCGACACCGTAGTGCGTGGGCCCGTTCTTCGATATTAATTATGACTCGCATTGTGTTTGCCGCGGGGCGGCTCCTACTCCTCCTCCTTGCCGGGGAGCAGCAGGCAAGAAACGAGAACGTAGCAGCCCGTGTGTGGGTTACAAAAGCCGATTCACGAACCCATCGACAATGGGACCGGTACGGAGGTGCGATAACGGAGTTAATTAATTGCTCAGGATTGTCATATTTGCGACAACAAAGAGAGAGAGAGAGGCGGTTTTTATTGTCCGGGTGGATGCTGGGAAGAGGCGTCGACGTCGTGAATCTGGGAGGGGTGTCGTTTTTGGGTTTTCGCTTCTTGCTGCACAGATGGATCAAGACGGAAGATATTTTCTTATGAGCTCATGAATGCCGTGGAAAACATCCGGGGTTCCGCAAAGATGTCTTCTGGGTCCACCTTTGTTCGACATTTATAGGGGTCCAAACTTATACACATTTAAATATCATGCCCTACAGGCGACCTAGTCTTCTCAGTCCGGCGCGAATTCAATAATATAGAGAGGGGATGCATGCAGTAGGCCCTGATTATTATAACAAGATGGAGAGTGATAGGGACAGATGAACATAAGTTCAACGCAATCCGTAGTAGCATTCACCAAGAGAACCAAAGTAGGGGGTTGGAACTTTAAAAACTAGAAGTTGAAGAGATACATTTGACAGGGGAGGTTAAATATTTGAGAGTTAAGTAGATCCCAATGCTGATCTGGAACCAAGACATGGGGTCTGGAATCAGATGTAAAATTGATTTGTTTCAATTTTGTCAACGAGAATCTTCTCCAAATTCTTCCAAGGATAGCTCCAATGGAGACAAAATCCAGGCTCGCTGTTGGAAATTATGTAGATCTTCAACTTGAAAAAACAAGTTGAGTGAGAAAAGCATAATTGAGAGGAACTTCGGAACTATTGGTGGTCTCTAAATAAATTAAGAATTAAGTGAAACTTCTGGCGAACTGAAATTATGAAATGGCACTTGCTAAATATTTATATCTTGTAATAACAGCGAAGGAAAAAGAGGACAAATGAAACTGGGAATATTCACCGAGTTACAGGGGATCGGACATATTTGGAACTTCGGAATATGTGGAGGAATGGAAATGTTCACCAGAACAATGCTCGGCAAGAACTCATGGTATCTGTATCGGTAGAGTAGGGAGGGTGAGTGTAAACCCACAGCACTTAGGCCACATGTGACCCATTGTATATCCTCCCGAGGAGTTGTTCTCCTAGGTCATTGTCCATATTGTTATTTCCAGGTAGGTGGACAGGTCACTAGGAGACATATCCTTTATATTGGCAGGTGTAGGCCAAGAAACGCCGAACACACACAACTTTGAGGTGTCTCACAGTGGCCTCCGCGAAGGTTTTGGAAGGTGCAGCGACAATACTGTCGTTGAGCGGCTTCTTCAACCTTCTTGGGGTTCCCTCCGTGCAGGTGCACAAGTGAGGGAGCTTTCTTGCAGGGGTAGCCGGTTCCTTGCCTTTATTCAAGGGGGAGCTCTTGGCGCTCGCCGCAGGAAGTGTCCTTGCTGTTGGAGGTGGAGTGGGGGAGGAGGAGGGTGCACTCCTGTCTCCTTTGCTCTCGTTCTCATTTTGACCTCGGCGCCGCAAATGCGCTTAGGCCTTGGCCTTTGTATTACATCACGAGGTGATCTGCTATGTCCAGCCTCATTCCAAGCGGTAGATTGGGGTGGATATTTCTGTTCATCCCCAACCATCGCCTTAGATTGAGGTGAGCACTTCTGTCCAGCCTCGGGATTGGTTTTTGTTGTTTCTGTGTTTTTGTTTGTTTCATTCATGTATGTTCCCACGAGTAGCAAGGGAAGAGTTGGACATCTCTGGCAGAGCCCCGCATTACCAGAGGTAGGCTGATTACAATGAGATTTCGACCAGTTCCCCAAGGGGATCGTCGGCACGATTCCTTACACCTTAGCTTGGGTAGGCTGGTCCACGGTGGCATGTTTTGCGAAGGCTCTTGGGGAGTGTTAGTTCCCCCCACCCTACTTATTTCTGCCACTGACAAGGAGTCCGGCGACCCCGTCCGTAAGGCCACATTGGCATCCAGTTCCTTGGCCGTTCCCATTTCCGCCACCTGGGAACGCGCCCGATAGGTAGCCCAACCCACGGGAGAACTCATGGTATATAGACCGGTCGAAAACTGAACATGGGACGGGAAATGGAATTCACTGTGCGGGAGAAGTTTGCATTATATTTACCTACCTACCTGCGCAATTTATAGATTCAGCCTCACGGGTTGAAGTTTATGCAGTCTTGCAATGCACAGGGAACATTGATTTGAGACTTCAATGGAATGAGCGGATTGAAATTTCTACAGAAAGCGAAGCTGCATTTGGAACTCAAAAATAACATGGAGATTGGATTGGTAGTGTGTAGCTTTGAACTAGCTGTGGTACAGGACAAGATTAGGAAATGAGAAATACTCGTATGAAAAGCACCTGAAAATATACCTGGCAACATACACGAGAACCGTCTGGGAAAAAACTTTTTGAGTAGAGTAGGGAGCAGCTCATAATAATTACAGGACACTTTGAGTACAGCGAATGTAATTGTGTTGTGTAAATTTGAGGCAATGAATCAAGGAGTCGAACAATTTGAGGACAACACAAATTTTGTCAAGAATAACAATGATAATAGTAGTTTTGTAGTGTCAGGATGGTAATGGATCGACCCCATAAAGACATTCAGGAGTTCAGAAGCCTTCCTCTGCATGGTGTACTACCATGAGAGAGCAGGATTGGGAGCAGCAGCCCGAGCAGTAGATGAACTTGGTTTAGTTTTCAGCACTGAACGAGGTGATTCCAACTCTGTCACCAAGTTGGAATACGTTCAGCTAAAGGCCCGCATTGAAGCCGCAGAGATCATTTTACTTCTGTTTAATCTGTTTAAAATCTGTATTTTCGTTGATCAGCTGTTGCCCCTATACGAACGACAACTCTCAGAACTTGAGAAACTTGTGCGAGCTAAGGACTAACGAGGTCTTACCTTTTAACGTGTGATTCCTGTGGATACACATTGAAGACTTCGACTAACCAGAGCCTCTAACATTTGCATTTGCTTTCCTTAGTTCGAGTGGCCTTATTTCGGTCCCTGACACAATATGTCTTGACAAAGTGCGGCATTACGAGTGCAAGAACATACAAGCTAATGAGCCTGATGTAGTTTTCCAGGAATATCACCGGAAAAGAGGAGATGAAGCAGTATTTTCATTTTCGAACTTCGCTGACTTTTTGACGTTTACAATAAACAGGATATCTGCCGTTTGCTTTTTACATTCCCGGAGCCGAGACAAAAAAACTTGCGTCCAAACAGTAGCTGCGAAAGAGATAAAGATAAAGAGAGAAAGAGTTCCTCCAAAGCGATAGACCGCTTCTGGAGCCCATAAAATATATCCGAATAATCTTGTAAGAGGACTCGAGAAATATTACTCCTTCCGACTATTAATGTTATTTGTTGAGACCGCTTCTCGCACACTTGGCACCGAAAATACCGACGGAAATACATCCATAATGGTCCACGAGGTTCGGTCAGAAGGCCGAAATGGAAAAGGGACAAATTAGTAGATTTTGTGAGATGTACGAATTCGTTTCGGGCCCTCTTTTCATCGTTGATTTTTGTTTCATTTCGTTCGAATTGGGCTATTTAGTTAAGTCCACTTCAGGAAGTGGTGGGGAAAATTCATAATACAGTGGTGAAACGTATACTTTTGAGAATACTTTTCTTATTTAAAATCATCCGCATTCAACCTGAAGGTTATTAGCGACGGAGTGTATTTATTACAAATCATTAGGTAGTATTTTACAATTTCATAATAAGGTTGAGAGCAGTTAAAAAGCAAATAATATTTTTCACTTGATGTCGTCCTAGAGCTTCTTTCAAATCTTGAGGTATATTGTAATTGTCTCTTTCTATTTGGAATATCGGACATTCCTTTACGATGTGTTTTACTGTGAGTGGCATTTCACAAATTTGACACTGTGGTTCCTCTCCTCGAGATATTAGGTATTCATGGGTAAGCCTTGTATGTCATATTCTGAGTCGAGTCATAATCACTTGTTCTCTTCTCG